AAGCGCTGGGCGTATAGCTCAGTGTCTGCCTGGCAAGTACAAGGTCTTGAGGTTTTTTTTTTTTTTTCTGGTACTGGGAATCAAACTCAGGGCCTGACACTTGCCAGGCAGGCACTTATGCCACTGAGCTATCTCCCAGCCCCAAGGTCCCGAGTTCTACTACTACCAATAATAGTAATACAAGACACATCTGTATGTGAAGTATACAAGGAAAAATAAGGCAGTTATAAGCTATAGGAGGACAGTTATAAGGTACAAAGGGTGTTTTGGGAACTACTTCAGGAAGAAGTTAATTCTGTACTAAAGTAAAATGGTTAGCAGAATATGAACAAGAGAAATGTAGGGGGGCTGGTGAGATGGCTCAGTGGTCTAAAGCGCCAACTTAGAACAAACTAAGCTAAGCAAAGCACAGGGACCGCGGTTCAATCCCCAGCACCACATGCCAGCCAGCCCTGCCCCCTGGTGGGCTGAACTGGCCACACACACACACACACACACACACACACACAAATAAATAAAATTAAAAAAAAAAAAGAAGAAATGCAGGGGCCAGAGAGATGACTCATTAGAATAAGTGCTTGCCTGGCAAGTGCAAGGGCCTGAGTTCAATCCCCGTTTCCACCAAAAAAACCCAAAAAACAAAGAGAAATGCAACTAGATTTGATGTGTAGGAAGCAGTCAATAAAATGACCCTTGGAGTATTACTCAGCTATACAACAGGATAAATTTGAGTCTTCTGTCAGTAAATGGGTGCAACTAGAGTAAGTGAGAGAAACCAGACCTGCACGTGCAAATATCGTGTTGTCTCCTTAGTGTGAGAACTCAAAAGAGAAAAGTGGAATCTCAAGGGTCTGGGACAAGGAAATGAACTTGTTCAAAAGGAAAGAGTTCCTGAGTTGAGGAGGACAGGAGAGGGAGCCGGGGAGAGAGATTTATCTAGGTATGTATGTAGGATGGTTTGGACACCGGTACTGTGCATTTCTGCTGGTCTACGGAAAGCAGTTAATGCTTTAGGTTTTTTTTGCAGAACCAGGGATTGAACTCAGGTCCTTGAGCTTGCCAGGCAAGCGCTTATTCCACTGAGCCATCTCCCCAGCCTTTAATTTTCTTTTTTGGCAGAACTGGGGATTGAACTCAGACCCTTGCACTTGCTAGGGAAGGGCTTATTCCGCTGAGCCATCTTCCCGGCCCCTTTTAATTAGCTTTGTCTTTTCAATTGTTTGTACTTTTTTCTCTTAAGTTTTTATAATTTCTTCTTCCAATTTTACATGTATATATCTGGTAATATGAATAACTGGTTGGAAGACACTACGAATCACAACAAACACTGTGAAGGTTACTTTGTTAAGTGAAATTCTGTATCACTTGTGATTTTTGTTTTATTTGTACTTTCTTTAACACATAAAGTACTGCTATCCAGGCTTCTGATCACCGTAAGAGAAAGCCCGCACTGGTGACGGCTTCTAGAACTCAGTGCAGAGGCATATTGGCTGCTGTTCCAAAATCAAAGAGTAACAATGAACTTCCTGGGACTGACTGACCTGATGAAGATAATTCATTTTATTTTTTTTGCGGAACTGGGGATTGAACTCAGGCCCTTGCGCTTGCCAGGGAAGTGCTTACTCCACTGAGCCATCTCCCCGGCCCCAGATAATTCATTTTAAAACACTGCTGGTAAACTCTGGTTTCTCTTCAGATTGTATAAATCTTTCATCTTTAAAAACAAAAACAAAAACAAAAACAAAAACACCACTGGTTCTTTGGCAGGATGCAGCTCAACAGAAGAGAGCTTGCTTAGCACGCGGAGGCCCCGGGCTCAACTCGCTGGCCAGGCACCGCTGGAGCAGGGCAACTGCAGCACCGACCTTCTGAGCAGAGAGGAAACGCTCTTTTTCTCTTCCTGATTAATTCACAGGCTGTTAGTGAGCAATCTTGTATGGCAACAGTTACTTGCACTAGTTCAACAAGGGTTTGTCCTCCTTGTAACAAGACACAAACTGGAATCGAGTTGCACTACCAAGGCTGTGGCTGATGCTCACTTTTTCAGACTCGGTAAGAACTATGGTGGACTGCACGGTGGAAATAAAGGCTCTAGGGAAGAGTGGCCGGGCGCCTCAGTACCTGACCATCTTGACGAGTAAGGATGTTGCTTGAGCTACTTTACGGAGGAAGCGGAGAAGACACAGTTCACCCAACAGATAGATATTACAGGCAACACCTGGGGGTGTGCTGCACGGCTTCGGAGCCTCACCGACCTTTTTGTTATTTCCTGGAGTCGCACTGTGTAGCCCAGGCTGGCCGCAAGCTTGTGGCTCATGACACTAGGTCTCCAGAAACTTTTAAAAGTCATCTGAAATTCCACAGAAAGCCACAGCAAGTCACACACCAGTGTGCACTTACGTAAGTAATCAGGTTGTGTGTACCTAGAGAATACATTTATTTAGCTAGCGGTGAAGCTCTGCCGTGACAGAGGTGGGGGTGGGGAGGAGAGCTGTTCCAGGGCCGCAGTGCACGGGCAGTGGTCACCGCCGTCCGAGGAGTCGGAGGAGTCGGAGCTTGGCGGTCAGCTCACCTGTGATCCACACTGATGTGGAGTTCATTTCCTCCAGTATCCGGCTTCTACCTGCCCAACTACTATTTTCAGCTTTTCTCCTATCCAGTTTGGAGTCATTAAAAATGGAAACTGCCCTTTTCCTGGGGCCCTGTAAACTACAGCTAGACAACTGGCCAACTCCCCAGGGGCCACCTTGTGACGTCCAGCTAGATTAAAAGCACTGCCGGAGGCTCCTGCCTGACTATCTGCCCACCACGGGCCGATCTTAAGAAATCCTGAGCGGCTGCCCTCGCTCAACACTTGACTCCACACCCCACTCAGGACCTAGCAGGGTGGAAGCCCAGCACTACAGGAAGCAAGGCAGGGCCGCTGGCCTCCCACGCCTAACCAAATGCTCCTGGGCTGTGAAACTTCACCTGAAGTTCCCAACAGGGAAGTGGTGAGGGGCAGGAGACACACAGCAAATGGAGCCTGTTTCAAAACCAACAGCAGAAGCAAGATGGCCACAAGCCCTGCCCACTTCCTTCCTGAAGCAGGCCACACAACACAGGATAGCCAGTTCCTAGCCATCTTCTTGTCAGACACAAAGACGTCCTTGTAAAGAGGTCCAGCCTGCACCTAAAGCTAGAGGTCAAAAAGCTGCAGATTCCCAAGTACTTTGAGTTTTGGAGCACTTTTTTTGGGGGGGCGGGGGGCAGAACCAGGGATTGAACTCAGGCTCTTGAGCCTGCAAGGCAAGAGCTTATTCTACTGAGCCATCTCCCCAACCCCTTTGAGTTTTGGAGCATTTAGGATTTGGAATTCCCAGATTAGGGAGGCTAACCAATAATCTATGCAACCAACCCAAAACCCAAGTCTAGGTTTTGAGATCTCATGCATTCAAGCATGTTGGGTAAGGGGCTGGGGATATGGCTCAGTAGAACAGGCACTTCCCTGGCAACTGCAAGAGTGAGTTCAATCCCTGTTCTTCCAAATCCTAAATGCTCCAAACTAAAAACAAACAAACAAACAAACAAACAAACACAAAAAAATCCCCCAGAAAACAAAACAACAAAAAAAGTATGTTGGGTAAGAGATCAGCCTTTCCCAGGGTGTTTGTTTCTATGTCCAAGAATGCTTTGTCATGTAAAACTTGTACTATACACACAAACCTGTGTGCTGAGCTCTCCTTACCTGTCCTGTGTAGCAAGATCTCTGGAGTGAGGTTGTGGGCATGCCTGGGAGCAGCTTGGTGGTGACAGGTTGCCTCTGGACTAGGAAGAGAGCCCCTCCGCCAGGCACTTGTTCCCTCCCGGGGTAGGAGGGGCACACACTGCAGGGAGAGGCTGCCCCTCTAGGACATCAGTTCCTAGAAAGTGCACAGTTCTGGCCCAACACTGTACCCTCCCCAGCGACCTCCAACCCTGAAGTCCTCTGGGGCAGACCCCCCTTGGTCCTAACTAAAAGCCTAACAGCTAAGTGAAAATGAAAGCTGAGTCCACACTGGGCAGTGAATATGGTAGGAACCATAATTCTGGATATGCTCAACCCCCAGCACCTGCTGACAACAGTGCAAATGAGGCAGTGGGGTGGGTGGGCAGTGGAGCTGCTCGCTGCTGCCCAGGCCCCAGGCAGCACCCTGCTAGGAGACACAGCAGCCACTGCCAGGAGCCCTGGAGGTGTGGTAGGGACACTGGCTGGAAAGACCTGGTGGGGCTGGCTCAGGCAAGCCCTTGAAGTGCCACCCCTCAGGCATCCATCCAAGGCAGGAAGGTGCCTCTGAGTCCTGGCCCAGCCGGGGCCACCAGTCTGGAAGTGGGTGAGGCCTCCACCCCGCGGGCCACCTGGACACCAAGGGAGCCAGACCAGGGGCTCCGCTGTGAGGGGCTCAGGCTGCACAGAGCTTTCTGTGGACGCCTCAGCTATCTATTTCTCAGTAGGAGGACCATGAAAAGGCCTAATGAAATCCACCACAATCCAGGCCCCATTAATGAGGCCCTTCCTACCCTGCCAGCCTCAAGCCACCCTCCCATCTTCCAGGGCCCCCTCACTTATGAGGTGGGCACTCGAGATGGGAAGCCCCTATCCCTTGGCCTGTCTACCCCACTGCCCTCTGTGGAGCTGAGAAGGGCTCTGTCAAAGTCTTCCAAGGGGTCCTTCAAGGGATGCGGGGTCCCCTCCAGCTGAGGGCTCCTATACTCACAGCTCGAGCTCCAGCCACCCACCTGCCCACCGACCTGTCCAGGACATTGCACCAGATCTGAGAGGCATCACTATGAAGTCCCAGAGGGAGGCCCCAGGGAGCAAGCTCAGCCCCCCACCGGAAGTGAGGCCAGCAGGGACTCAGTAACATCTCAGACACACCTCGGGAGCTGTGGCTGCTTGCAGTTTATTTTCTGCTGGTCAGGAGAGTTAGGAGAGCTCAGTGAAGCCCGGAGAGCAGAGGTCTCTAGCCTTCTGCTGGAGCCAGCATTCTGGTGTGTCGGCTCCCTGCTGTCTACCAAGTCCACAGGGTAGGTAGGTAGGCAGGGCTCTGGCCTCGCAGCTGGTGGCACAGCCAGGTCAGGATGAGGGCCTGGTGTTGGCCTGGCTGGACTGGCTCAGCGGCTGCTTCTCTGTGGCTTCCGAAGCCAGGCCACCAGTGACCATGCTGCTGGAAGTCTGGGGTGATTCCGGGCTGGGAGAGAACGCGGGCAGAGGGGTCAGAGATGCCTCCCTCCACCCTCATCCTGGCCCCGCCCCGGGAGGGTGGACTCACTGCTCTGGGGACTCCAAAACTGTGGCCATGAACGGGGCAGTAGACTTCCCAAAGAAGAAGCTGGTCCACCAGTGACCTGGGTCGGATTTAGGGAGACCTGAGAGAAAGAGTGGGGTGACGATGCCATCGCTCAGAGGGGGCCCCACGCCCCCCAAGGGAGTGGAAGCCAGGGCTCACCCGGGGGGTGGGGGACGGCCTCCCCGGGGTACTCGGCACTTCCGCAGGAACTGTTGCTGGACGCAGATCCCAGGCGGCCTGGGGACAGGGGGCGGTCAGCCAAGGGCCTTGCTAGTGACCAGGGGCGTTCGAGCTGGGCGGGCGGGCGAGAGGCTACTTACGCCGGTAGTAGTCGTGGGTGGCCACGAGCGAGCCGCTGGAGGGGATGGCTGCCATGCTGCCCGCGGTGGTGGAGAGCTGCAGGGGCGCGGCGCTCCCGCTCCCAGCTCAGCTTCCGGACGGCTCGGACCGGCCGGGACCGGCTGAGCGGCCGAACAAAGGCGCTCTGTGAGCGATCGGGACTGGCCCGGCCCCGGGGCCCGCCCACCTCCGACCTTACGACCCGCCGCCCTGGCCCAGCGCCCTCACCTCGGCGGCGACGCGGTCACGGGCGGTAGGGACAGGAGTGCGAGGCTGCACGGCCCATTTGCCGAGCAGGCCGCGGCCAGCAGGCCGCAGCGCCCACCCCGCGCATCGGTGCGCACGCGCAGGCGCGCCCGCAGCCAGGTACTAGGCGGTCGCGACGCGGGGGCGGGGCCCGGCGCGCTGGCCTTTGCCGGGGCTCTCGCGACCGCTGTGCAGCCCCAGCTCGGCATGTGTGGGGCCAGCCAGACGACACGACCAGGCCGGGACCCGCGGAGTGGAGGACTTCCTGTCTAGAGCCGGACCTGTGCCCCTGACCTGTGCCCCCCGACCGTGCCCCCGACCTGTGCCCCCGGCCGGGCCCTGCCTGGCCCCGCCCTACTCGTGCTGGTGCCCCTGCACCTCCTTCTGGGCTGCTCGTCCGCGCCCAACACGCAGGTCTACCCACTGCCACTTACGACAAACGAGGACACCTGCTCGGCAGTGGCTCCCTGTCCCCGGTGCGCCTTCAGCACTTACGGGATGGGGTACAGGTGTGGAGGACCCCAGAAGGTTCCCATCAGGCACCTGAGGCCCAGAGCTGACAGCCATGCCCTGGCCTGTCCATCGAGAGAAAGGGCCTGGCCTCCTCTCATTCCAGCCTCGCCCGCTACCCCTCCCTCCCCTCTGCCCAAAGGGGAGCTCAGCCGGCCCCCTGAGGTCAGGTCCTTTGCAGCAGCCAGCTGAGAGGGCCTCGTGAGTCCAGAGGCAGTGCTGCGATTCAGGAGGCCACCAGCAGGTCTGTGTTGCTCTGTGAGCCCCGTGAAGGCTAGGGGCACACTGTGCCAGCTGGGTGCTGGGTGCCTCCCAGCAGTGCTGATCCACCTTCACAGATGCTCCGGAGAGCTCAGCTGGGCAGGGCCCCTGCTAGACCTGGTCACGCCTTACAACCCCTGAGGCACAGGCTCTGACCAGGTCCTGCACCTGTTCGCTCTTGAATTTGTATATGCAGATGCTGGGTCAGGCACAGTAGCAAATGCCTGTAGTCCCAGCCCTGATGGAGGCTGAGGTAGGAGGACTACAAGTCCAAGTTTTGTTTTAGCAACTTAGTGAGAGCCACTCTGCCAAAGAAAAGAGAGCCTAAGGATGTAACTTAGAGACAGAGCAACCACGGGTTTGGTCTCCAATATTGCCCTCCCCCCAAAATCAGTCTCCATGTGGGAGGCCAGTGCAGAGGCTAGGCGGGACAGGAGGTAAGGTTTAAGTCTGAGGACAGGATGGCAGCTGCGGCAGAGCAGACAGCATGTGTGGGCACCTGAGACCCAGCGCGGGTGGTGCTGGGAAGAGCAAGGAGGCTGTGGGTCTGGGACAGGTGTGGGCAGCCGGACCTGTGCAGGGAGCCATCGAGCATCCCTGAGAGCAGACTGGTCAGATATGGTGACATCCAAGGGCAGACCTTTCTGGCAGGACCCAGGCTTGCTTCTTGGCTGCTTGTGCTGAAGGCCCTGGTACCCAGCCTCCTGCCCCTGCAGACCAGGGAACATCTCAGTGGTTTCAGGGCCAGAGACATCAGAGGCCAGCTGTGGGGCCTACCCAGAACCTGACCATATAGGGCTTTGCAGGAGTGTGGAATGACTTGAACACAGGAGAAGGGGTCAGGGCTCCATTACAGGCCACCCTGGCTCTGATTCCTGGCACAACTGGGTGGGCAGCGTGAGCAGAGGTGAAGGAAAGTCAGCTCTTCTTGCCGCAGAGCCATCTGCAGGACAAGGAGGACAGAGAGGACAGGGACAGGGCTTTGTGGTTGCCTGGAGAAGGACAGTTGGGGTCTCCATGGCTGGGGACTGGAGGGGAGGCAAAGCTGCCAGGGTTTCTTCTGGGAGAGGCTCCTCCCTGGTGCTGGCTCGGCTGTGGTGCTGCTGGCTCTGTTTGTCCAGTGGGTCCCACTGTGTGTCAGGTGCTGGGATCCATTCACTGGGTGAGTGTAGCCTCTGCCTTCAACACCTCAGGACCTGGAGGTGTAGCTCAGTCTCACCACCAGCGCAGAAGTCCTCCCATGGGCAAGACCAGTATGTGCAAAGGCCCTAAGGCGAGAGGCAACGGTAACACACTGCACTGTGGGTGTGGAGGTTGGAGCCAGGTCCTACCACCTGTCAGGCACAGAGTAAGGGGCCTCAGTGACTTCTCAAGAGTGGGGTGTATGTGTGTGGCTTGTGGGTACTCCCTGCGCTTCATAACGTAGCCTATTCTGTCCTGAGGTTTGCTCAGTCTGTTCCCTAATAGGCTGAAGGGCTGTCCTTCCTTGGGCCTCCCTAGGCAGGCCCAAGCGTGGGCAACAGGAGTATTCGGGGCAGAAGGCAAGACAGATAGGTGTTCAGCGTCTTCTGACTCAACTCGGAGGTCCTGAGGCCTCTTCCATTGACCTTGAGATGCCCCACTCGTCAGGATAGATGGGAAGCCTTGGCTGTCACAGAAATGGCCCAGAGCTGCTGAGAGGCCACACCTGAGGTATGGGGACATTCTTCTCTCCAGCTTGGTGCTGCAGCTTCCTGGGATGGGATGTCTACTATTTCTCCTTCTATGTCAAGAGTCTGCTGTACTCACTGCTGTGACCAAACCACTTGATGTTTACTCTTCCTTTGTTTTTGTTATTAAAGGGAAAAAGGACTTATTTTGGCTTATGGTTTCAGATATTTCAGTCCATGGCAAGCTGACTCCAAGACAGAAGCATCATGACAGAGGGGAGGCAATAGGACACTGCTCACCTCTAGACAGCCAGGAAGCAGAGAGAGTAGGAAGAGGCAGAGGGGAAGGGGCCAAGAAGCAGATACGGTCCCCAAGACCTGGCCTATCCAGGCCCAGAAGTGGCTCTCCAGCTAGTCACTTCTCAGGCTGGTCGAGTCCACAGTCATGATTAATCATCACCTTCACCACGTGGTTGGCAGCAACCTGTGGTGCTCTGAGTGGTGGTTGTGTAGGTTCCACATGTGCTGACCTTACAGTTCTGCTCAGCCGGGCCCTTCCTCGACCAGGAAGGCGTGCAGTGCCAGGTGTTGCTTGGTGCAGGTGTGTGCTGGGCATGTGGGCTGGCGGAGCCCATGAGCCCATCCTCTGGGGTCAGGCGAGGCCAGCCATGCCCCTAAGATCTGGGCCTGGGATCTGCAGAGGTGCTGTGCTGCCTCCTGTATGGTGTCCTCTTGGAGTTTGGGGTACAAGGTGTAGGTTAGGGCTCAGCACTGGGGAAACGGATGGGGGGCTGGGAGGTGATGCTGTCGGGCCCAGCTGCATAGGCTTGGCGTTTGCCCTTTACCTGTCCAACGCGCTGCTCAGAGGGAAGATCTTGCATGGAGGAGCTGAAGGTGGGGGCCATCCCGTGGCCTCCCCAGCTGGACACCAGGACCGTCGCTTCCCCAGCCTCCTTCAGCTGTGCTCTGGGGCCAACCCAAGCAGTCAGCTAGTATTCACCTCAGTGGTGGCTCCAGGAATGGAGTTTAAAGGACAGTGTCTTCCTTCTCCTCTCCTTCCTTCTTTCCTTCCTTTCTTTATTTTTTTTTAAATTTTTATTTATTTATTTTATTTGTGTGTGTGTGTGTGTGTGTGTGTGTTGCCAGCTCAGCCCACCAGGGGGTGCGGCTGGCTGGCATGTGGTGCTGGGGGATTGAACCACGGTCCCTGTGCTTTGCTAAACT